TATACAGTGTATTAATATGAAATCTGACTAGTGTTAGTACACCATTTATTTTTGAACATGTTCACATACCAATCTTTTTTTTTGTCATCATTTATTATAAGCCAGTTATATGTTTAATCTTGTATAAATTGAAATATATTCAGCATTGCAATTTTATTTCTATCAATCTATTTGCAAAAATAAGTTGGTTGCTAATCAAAGCCAAAAGAGATTCTCTATTAATAACTTATAAGTTTAGAATACAACTGCAAACATTTCATAGTTACTTCATTTCTAGTGAATAATCTATGATTTTAGCTAAACTTATTCATTCTTTTTAATCAGAAAGAGAGGATTAGGATTTATAATTTTACAAAAAGAATTAAACAGTGGTATATCCATAAAAGAAGAGAACGTATGAATATTCAAAATTAAAAAAAAAAAAAATGTAAAAAATATCAGAAACTAGTCAAGTAACTGAAGTATCAAGTAAATCTTCAAAATCCATGTTCATGATATTAAAGAGATGGCAAATAAATTTGATTTAGAAAAGTAGTTTTTAATCTATTTTAATAGAACATAAAGTTAAACTATGTGCAGCCTAAGTATAGTGAAATCAAATTTATTTTGTTCACTCCTTCCCACACCGCCGTCCACCTGGCGGAAGCAGATAGGCGGACAGCTGAAGACATGGGCCTCAACGATCAAGGAGGATCTGGCGTTACTATCCGGCCCGCATGTGGTCGGCCTTCGCCACTGGAACCGCGACTGGCTTACCATCTCGTGCGACCTCGCGACAGACCGACGGGCGTGGGCAGCAATGGTCCGTGATGCGGTGCGTCAACAGGAAGAAGCCGGCTCAATCCGCCCAGGGTGAATGCCGCATCAAGAAGACAAGACTTGCAATGTATATTAAAATTGACCAGATAGAATATAAGTAAAATGAAGATAATGTGCATGATTCTCAAAAACTTGCAAAAACCCACATATCTATTTATATTTTTAATTATTAAAAAAAATATAGATTTTACCAGATAAAGAAAAAACAAACAAAATTCAATAATCTATCTATGCCTTTCTTTGTAACAGATATACTGGGGGGAAAAACACATTGTCTTTATTTTATTTAAGAGTAAAAAATTAATAGCAAATAACTTATATGTCCCAGTTAAGATTGTAAAAGTATCTGGAATCTATAATAACTTATATACAATGCACTTCTCTTCTTTGGAGATCTCACCACAATGGTAATGATGAAATTAGCCATTTACTTATACAGACACATTCAGCACCCATTGGCCAAACAGTGTTAATGTGGGTTGAAATTTACTGCCATTTATTTTCAGACTTTGGAAGCTTTTTTGTTTTTTCTTCAGTTTGACCACAACATAGCAGTTGTATGCCTATATAGGTTGCACATGACATGCTTTGCAAAGAAAGCCTAAAAATATTTATTTAATGTATTTGTCTAATTGTTTTTATAAATTCTATTGTCATCTGTAAAAAAAAAAAAAAAAGTTATTCTCAGCTGTTTCCACATTTTATACAGAATTGTTTCTTTTCAATTTTTAAATATTGCTGGTTCATACTAAATGGCAATCACTTGACTGTGATATGACTATAAAAGAAAGTGGGTTGTATTTCATGTCTAATAGAGCCACTTAGAACAAAAAACCTGGTGGATAATATTTGAAACCAGACTTAATGGCTGATTTTTATTAATAAGTGACTTTATTTTAGAATGTATATTTTGATTTATGTGAAAAATAAAGATTAATGCTTTTATTGCCAGAGGCCAGCCTTGTTTTTAACATCTTTCAGCATATTATTTACATTATTCGGACTATTGTCCTCATCTTTGTTGCCATATTTATTACGTTTCGGCCGTTGTATGCTCTGGCCTTCTTCAGGTGGTTGGAATGTCGAACTTAACCCTTTATTTCGCTCACTGGGGTAGACTGTTCTAGTTTCACGTGCCATGTTTAATGGATGTCAGTTATCAGTTATCTCCTGTTAATTTCCCTCTGAAAGTTCTCCACTGCCTTAACCGGGTATTGAACTCACACTCTTTGCATCCTGTCACTGGATCTAACCAACGCCTTTATCCACTGTGCCTTGTGTCCTTTAAACTTGGCACGTGGAACTAGAACAGTCTACCCCAGTGAGTGAAATAAAGGGTTAAATTCGACATTCCAACCACCTGAAGAAGGCTGGAGTGTACAACGGCCGAAATGTTGTAATAAATATGGCAACAAAGATGAGGACAATAGTCCGAATAATGTAAACCTCATCTCAGAAATATAGACAGATCTTTCAGCATATTCAAATGTTATTTATTTATGGAAAAAAACTATGAATTTCATACAGAAATTTTTATCATTAAGTGACTGGAACACCAATATTCAAAATTGGTTGCATCAGATATTCAAAATACAAGTCTTTGATCACTATCAAATTCATGCAAAATTAAATTACATAAGCAATATGACAACAAATATGATGTTTATACACTGCCCTTGACCACTAAAAATCCGTAACAGAAACTTACTCCTTGCTTAGGAAAATAAGTTGAAACAAACCTAACATGAAATAGTAAACTTCCTGGATTTTTTCTTTCTTTGCTAAATTATATTGTTTCTAGAGAAACTTATCATGTCCTTAGTTTGTTTACCAATCCATGTTATGATTGTTATCAGAAGACCTGACATTTGATTTCCATTTATATTCAAGAGACCTTAAAAAATGTCAATTCTGATCATGTAAACAAGTTGTATCAAAATGCCTGCAGATAATAACCAAACCAAAACGAAAGGTAAACCAAGGCAATTAATTAACATGCTTCAAAAAAAGAAAAAACACTACAAATTAAATCATTCATTAGTAAAACTATCAGACAACTCACATCAAGAACAATTTTAACTAAAGTAGAACCTTGTGGCAATATAGCATTTTGTAAACAATGAGTAGCAATATATTTTCTCAAAAAAATAAAGATGCTATCGCTATATTTTGGACATAACAAAATAGGCCATTTAGTGAAATAAAGTTACAGGAAGAAAATGTAAAAAATTTTACTAAAAAACATTTCAATACATCAGAGATAAGGAACTGTCTACTTATGTTTTGCATTCTACAGCAGAATATGAACTTGCCTTACATTGTGGAATAATGTGCATTTACCAACCAACACTCCATCCCACCCTTAATGATGGAGAGAACAAGGATTGAACTTAAAACAATGATCATCAGACTCACTCAACTCAATAATGAAGATTATCAGCAAACCTATATTTATGCCAAATTTTATTTTTATTATTTTTTTTATTTATTTTTTGTTTCCAACAACTTTCAAATTTTTTAAAAGGGGGTTTCGATTTTGAACGGAAATCAAAATTAGTACTTAAACTTACTCAAATTTTATCATCCTCATAGTGAGTAAATAAAAGTATTAGATTTTTTGAAAGTCATGGAAGGTGTATTACAAAATTACCAAAGACAAACAAAAAAAAGCAGTTATCAAGTTAAAACTCATAAAAATTCTTTTCTTCAACAATAAAAAACAAATTTTCCCATCTTTTTTTTTTAAATAGATGTTCTATAATAATTCTTTTAATCGACAACGATTAACTGATTTAAACTAAAGCACTGATTTTAGAGTTTTATTTTAAAGAGAAAGACTACAACACATTGGATGGGCGTGGAAGGAAAGTTTTTAGTTGTTGAAACGAATAATCGCGAAACAAGAGAAATACTCATCACTACGAGTCTAGGTAATTTTTCAAAACTGTTTATCTGCTACATATTGTTTTTCTTGTTAATTTTGCAGAGTGTTTTTAAATATAAAGTCAACAAAATGTTTCAATTCCAAAAAATTTCTTTTTTCACTAACGAAAATTTTTTCATGAGTGAAATTTTCACTTTTTACTGTTGCGTAAGAATTCAATGTAACATGAAAAAAATAGTATTAATTTTCACAAATAATTTGACATCAACAATAATTAATAATATAATTGTGTTTACGATTTTATTTAAATGTAAAATAAACTTACTGAACTTAGAGAAACTGAAATAAGCTGTTTGTAGACTAAAATGATTTTAAATGGGGGATCTATTTCCAATGCAAACAATACTTGAGTTGGTCACCGAGTTTATAACCGAGTAATTGTAAACAAGTTTATTTTTTTTACAGACTTAAGTTCAAGTTTAAAAAGTAACGAGTTACAAGTGAATAACAATATTTAATAACGTATTTAAATTAAAGTTAAATTTTGAAGAAAAAATAGACAGTAGTTACTGTTACTTAGTTGAGAAATATTTTCGTTTAAATACGAAAATATTTCAGTGAAAAAACTAAGTAGTAAATTAAATATCATCGGAAAAGAGAATAAAATTTAAATTAAGTAAAATTAAAACATAATTCAGAAATGTAATAAAAATTAAACTGGAAGAAGCATTTTTCTTCTTCCTTGTTGCTAAGTCTTAAAAAATGTTTGTGAGAATTAGTGACTGAAAATAAGGAAGAAACAGACTATTTAAAAAAAAAGAAAAGGAATTCCAAATACACAAATAAACTTTATATTTTACTTGCTTTAAATCTTGGTTGCTGCAAAAAAAAAAAAAAAGGTGGAGGGGGATTATAAAAACATTTATTTACTAAATATCAATCAGGTGACAGTAAAAAATAAAAAAGTGACGTCAATGAACACTGTATATTTCGTAATAAATAATATGAGAAGAAATCCTCATTTAGTCTAGCAAATTACAAGATAATACATATTTTAATAACGAGTAAGTATTAAAAAAAAAAACAGCGGTTACGTGACAAAGTGGATGAAATGCAGACGGGAAAAAAAAGAAAGAATCAAGAGAGTTAAAACTTCCTTCTATTTTGCAAAGTGTCACGACTCTAACTAAGTAACTAAATCAACTAATTCGGTCCCCGCTTGCTTTAAATGACTACGGCAACAGAAATATGCAGCAAAAAATAATTAAGTAAATTAGGAAAAGACAGGTAAACTCACCAGTAAGGTAAATATATACGTCAATCATTCAAAGCAAAAATGTGTATCACTTGAAACGGCGATGATAATAACAACAAAGTACACATTGCCTAAACCAAAACATGGCGGCCGATCCACATTGACAGTGGTCACATGACTTAACTCCACCAAAGACACAGCTCCGATACATAGTAAAACACTTTTCTCTCTTCTTTCTGCAAACCTAATTCTCACTAATAGATAACAAACACTACAAGAGACACCATATGACTATTCAATTAAAAATAATATTTAATATATATATAATCTGCATAAAACAGATTCAATATCTGAAGAATATTGGATATATTTTACTAACAGAGGAATTTTTCTCAAAAGTCTTTTAAAAATGTTTTTTTAGATATGCATACTTGGAATAGGAATTTTGTTAAGAAAATGTGAGTTTTTTTTTTTTTTTTTGGGGGCCAAATCTTAAAAAGTAGCATGTCATTAAACAATTCTTTCTTTGTTCCAAAAAGTCATTGATAACTGATAGTAAAAATTTTCTTTGCATTAAAATTTGTTACTGATTGTAATGTTCAAACTGCCACTAAGCTCCAGTAACTAATTAAAAAGATTCTGTGAAGAGCTAATCTATGATCTCTGAGCAAGATAGTGTTCTAACTTTTGAACTATGGAAATACTGATAAAACTTGTTTAATTCATAGTACATATCGCTTGGAAAAAAAAGTCCAAACAATACATTTTTATTGAATTAAAAAAAAACTCTCACAGGAATATTATTAACCATCTACCTTAAAATAATCATAAACTAACAGTTGTCCTTTGGATCTAAAGAAGAGCTTAATTATATATCTATCTGTGATTTCTCAACAAAACCAGCCCCTGATTATAGAACAATGCAGGAACTAAAATTCAGTTGTTGTAATTGCTACCTTTAGTGTTGTTTTCTTGTAATTTTCATAATTTTTTAAATTTCAGAGTTTAGGTGGAGATGATAGGAGCATAGAGTTGAAGTAGACTTTAAAAAGAACTGGAAGATCAAACATAAACAGGAAACAAGGAATAAACCTCAAAAGACCAGGGAGGAGTGTAAACTGGACAATAGGCATACCTATCTACTAAGAAAAAATAAATAAATACCATAAATTATGGCATACAAGTCAAGTTTTCAAGCCTAAAAATTTGTTTTGGGTTATTGGTAGCCTGTCATATGTTTGCAGGTCAACCTATACAGTAAGTATAGGCCTAAGTCAGAATTTTCAGTTAAAAATTAATTTTCAGGTCAAACTGTACACTGCAAATTACAGTAAATAGTAAAGAAATTTTCAAAATTCAGGTGGAGACATTAAGAGTATAGAGTTGAAGTAGACTTTAGAACAGGTGTTGACAACTCTGAGACCCTGGGCCACATTCAGCTCATGAAGGATTTTTGTCCAGCCCACCAACTTAACACTGGGACAATAATTATATAATGAATTTGTGGAGTAAGTGGAAAAAAAATATTAATTGGCATTAAGGGACTTGCAATGCAATGAATTTTTAAAATCAAAATTTAATTCCAAATCCACTGCTGACTTCTACAAGAAATATGTTTTGCCAAGTGGAAAATACAAAAGCCTATTGCATAATGCAAAAATGGTGTAATTATTTGGAAGTACATATGCTTGTAAACAACTTTTTTTGAAAATGAAGTATACTAAAAGTCATTTTTGAACAATGTTGATGTTTTTCTCCTGACAGTGACAAATATTTCACCTGATTTAGAGAAATTATCGAACAATAAAAAGAAACAAGTTTCTCATTAAATAATTTGCTATTTCTAACTGTATTTCATTTGTAGTAAGGAATTTGCATTTTTATTGCGTTAGTTGTTATCCTATTATTCCTGCAGTAAAATAATGAACCTTGTTTAAATAATACAACATTAAATTTGTTGTTTTTTCTTTAAGCCTTCAGAAGGCAGCTTTTTGAATGAAGTAGACTGAAGTCAAGACAATTTATTATAGTACATTTGATTTAATGGCTCGCCTCTGAGATGTTGCAAAGATTTCTGGCCCACTCTTTTCAAAAGATTGCTGACCCTTGCTTTAAAAGGTACCAGAAACCCAATCCTAAACAGGAAACAAGGGATAAATTTCTACTCTTGTTCAAAAGGTCAGGGAGGAGTATGAACAGGGCAATAGGCAAACTATCTACTAAAATAGAAATAAACAATAAAATACACAATAAAAAAAATAAATAGTAAATAAAAATGACCGAATTTAACAGATTATTATTAACATATACAGGCTTGTGCAATGTCCTATCTCATCATTATGATGTTACTTCCTTCAAATTGAACAATTTTGGTCTAGCTTCTGAAACAGATTAAACTGTATATATTCCCTAAAATCATCAGATACAGGGCCAAAATAATGGAATACTCACCAAGAAATAAATCAAAAACAATAATTTGTGGAAAAAGAACCTGCTAGCTATTGTCTTAAAGCAGGTCATCATCCTCTGCATCATCAAGTATGTAATATTTGATCAGAATAACACTAGGTCCTCATATTTCTTTTATGACCAGACAAAAATTGTTACAATTTGACTAGAATTTGAAATCAATATTTAAAAGAGATTAATTCTAACAATGTAAAATAACTAACAGAAGTTACTTTGTGAAAAAGATAAAAACCTTAAAGATAAATTTGAATGCTTGACAAATTTACATTGTTAGAATTAATCTCTTTAAAATATTGATTTAAAATTCAACAAAGGAAAATTACCAAATCATGGTCATTGTTATTGTTTTATTTTTTCTTTCTTTTTATGTGTCATGTGCTTTCAGGGTGTAGGTGATCATGGCTCTCCACCTCCCTCTATCCTTTGCAGCTCTCAACATGTTCCTTCCCTCTCCCAGACCACATTCTGTCATCCACTTGCTTAAGCCTGCTAGGTATGTCACACACTGTTTTCCCTTGTCTCTCTTTCCCACTATTCAACCTGTGAGTATCAGATTCTCCAGGCCCTCCTTCCTTGTTATGTGTCCCAGAAACTTCAGCTGCCTCTTCCTGATATTAAGTAATATATATATATATATTGTTTTATTACATTAGTCTTATATCACCTATCAATGAAAATAAAACTATGATTAGTAAGTAAATCCAAAATAACTAAAATATGCCAAACTTTTTATTTTTCAACCAGAGAAAGGAAGATGGTACTTAAAGAGGAATTCCACTTCCTGTGAATATTCCTATTTTAAGAAAGCTTAATCTATTTGGCATGCAGCTTTAGCAGGAAAACTTAATGCATAAAACTTCCTAATATTTTTAGCCTTTTTTTCTCAATTCATTATAACTGAATGTATCCAGAAGAGATATTCAATCCTCTGTCTATGTTGTTCATAATCCAGGTTTTAAATGTCATTTTAGAGTATGAAAGACACAGAATAAGAAATTCACAACAGTTCATCCTTAGAAATTTTTTATTTTTAAAGAAAAATAAACAATTTTTAAAAGTTTTATATTTTGATGTTACATTTTTCCTATCAGCTCATGATTATTTTAAAGAGAAATGATTTTTATACTTGTTCGATATCTAAATTGTTTGTCCATTTAAAATATTAAATTTATTAGAAAATTTATTGAGTTTAAGTACAGAGGGAGTGGTAAAAATAACTTCAAAGGACTGCACATTTTAGCTTATATTAATTTCCTGTTACCTGGGAAAAAAAAAAAGAAAAAGGGAAATTAACTTTTGCAGCACAGGTGTCCGCTTTAATTTCATTCAAATTGTGTATGCACATGTATATTTTAATTCCATGACACACTTAAAAAAATATTTATATAAAAGCTTTAAAAAATAATTATCTATTACTGAATAATTTTTTAAAAGTTCAGTAAAATCTTATAATTATTTGATTTTCTAGGGTTTAAAGAATTAATGTTGTTTTTGTCTCCAACTTTATGATTTTATTGCTCAGCCCAGAGTAGGAGTTGTCCACACTAAATGAGGAGTTAGCATTATTTATTTATTTATTTTTTTATCGAGTTCACCCCATGCAAGGCAGTAAAGCCACCAAAACACAAAGGGTTGGAAGAATTTGAAACAGAAACATTACTAATGAACAAGAACAAAAAGAGCAATCAGGAGAACAGTAGATAGCAATTGACATTGCATTTAAATTTTTACATATTAAAGTTGGCTGGAAAGCATAGAACTGGAAGGGAGTTCCACAAGTGATGAGTGCAAGAAAAGAAACTGTTAGCATAGTATTTACAGTTACATGTAGCCAACTCAAATGCAAATTGATGAGATCTTGGTGCTAGTCTAGTAAACTGCTCTCTAGAGTAGTTTATGACACATCTATTTATCATCATTAGAAATTGACCTTGTGTCACAACTCATCTTTGTGGGGAGACAGAGTAAATACCTAGTACTCCACTTAAATTCAAATATTCTAGGTACCATAGCAAAGAGTTAATTCAAACAATTATCATGAAAGTATTTATACTATTTATATTTGTACTATTGTCTTCATCTTTATTGTTGTTTTTATCATAACATTTCAGCCACTGTGCCCCCCAGCCTTCCTCAGGTGTATATCGATCTGAGTAACCTACAGGGAATTCTAAACTGAACCCTTTATCTTATCTACAGGAGTAGACTATTCTTGTTCTACTGCTCATACCTAAGAATATCATCTAGTTCTTATTTTTATTTAGTACTGTTCAGTTATTACTCACCTATTTCAAATGTGTGCAAGACTCACTGACTGACCCAGAGATTGAACTCAGCAGAAACAGGAGAGCAATAACTGAACAGTACTAAATAAAATAAAATTTAAGTAACATGGAGAGCAGAACAATAAGAGTATTCCAGCATAGATAAAATAAATGGTTCATAGAGAAATGTATAATTTATTGTTTCATATTTCTTTTGTTGTCAAATAAGATTCGATCATAGATTCAATAAACAGACATATTAATACATACTAATTGTGTTTATTCTTATTTTTCCTTATAATTCTACTATTGTCTTTTATTGTGTATTTTTTATCAT